GCTTGTGGCTCTTTCTAAGGCTTTTGTTGCCATTGTTGTTGCTATTCAGTGTATCAATGATGATGATTTTCATTTCTTCTCTTGTCGAAGATTCTGGTCTGTACAATACAGGACTTGCCACATGTCCCAGTAGCTTGGCAGGTTTCATAAATGCTCTACGTGAGCTGGAGAAGAATGCTAATTTTATAAGTTCTATATATGTCTATTCACAGTTACTTAATTCTGTTATCAAAACTATATTGTTACCTATTGCTGCAAACATAGATTACTGTAAGAAGAGTATTAAATAATCTCACTAAAGTTTTAAATGAGTTAAATTTTCTTTATATTTTATCAATTTTGCCTCATGTGTTTTGAACCTAGGTTATTCCCTCAAATGAGTTGAGAACTTTTTAGCTCCTGATGAATCCATTCTTTACATTATGTGTTGAGATTCAATCCCCCTGCTGATGCCCCATTAACAACCATATCATCTGTCTTTTGTTTAGTGTTTCCTAACTGTATAATATGTTTCATTCTTTTACTTTAAAACTTATTGTAATGTTTGTTTGTGTGTTTATTTAAGTCATCTCTACACCCAATAATCTCTACACTCGAGTTTACAACCCTGAGATCAAGAGTTTCTCACTCTTCTGGCTGTGCCAGGCAGGTCCTTCAAAACTTATAAAGTTATTAGGAGGAACTATTATAAATACCATGGAGCAGGGTTTCCCACTTTTAATTCCAACCTACCTTCAAGTATTGGTAATTGATTTGTCAACTTACTTTTATTGATTACCGATATATTTTGAACTATTTTTATGTTATGTGTTTACATACACTTTTGGTCATTTTACTTCACTTCCTGCCATCCTGGGATTATTTTTAACTATTACGGCTGTGGTTATTATTGTTATTGTTATTATTACATTTTCTTCAACCAACTTTGGTTTGGAAGTTATAATATTACAATTTAAACAACATTAACTTAAGGTTTAAATTCACATACTTCTTGAATAATACAAGGATTAAAGAACACTTGAATTATAATCTCATTTCCTCACATTTTAAATGTTAATCTTGTGCAGGATTTTAATTTGTCTTTTTCTTTGTCTCATATATTAAGCATTGTTATTTTGTATATACTAAATTTTTGTTTAGGTTACCCAAATATATGCATTATCTTTTCTCACTATTCCTTCTAGATGCTCAGATCTTTGTTTCTGAATTAATTTAGGATTATTTTCTTTGTTTCTAAATTATGTCTTTTAGAATTTCTGTTTACTAAGATCCATAATTGGTAAGATTCTTGTTTCTTGCACACACTTTTTTTAAATTTCAATTCCAGTGTACTTTACATACAGGGTGATATTAGTTTCAGGTGTACAAGGTAGTATTGCAATGATTCTATACATTACTCAGTGTTTATCACGTAAATGTACTCTTAATCCCCCTCATCAATTTCACCCATCCCCCACCCACTTCTCTGATAACCATCAGTTTGTTCTCTATAATTAAGAGTTTCTTTCTTGGTTTGTCTCCTTTTTCCCCCTTTGTTTGCTTGTTTTGTTTCTTAAATTCCACATATGAAGAAATCATATGGTATTTGTTGTATTTGTCTTTGACTGACTTATTAGGCTTAGCATTATACCCTCTAGGTCCAACTATGTTGCTACAAATGGCAAGATTTCATTATATTTATGGCTGAATAATATACCATTATATATATAATGCATTATATATATGCATTATATATACTGGAAAAGAGTGATATATATATATATATATATATATATATATGCATAACACACTTTCTCTATTCATCTATTTGGGATATTTCTATAATTTGGCTATTATAAATAATGCTGCAATAAAAATAGGGTTGCACATATCCTTTTGAATTAGCATTTTCGTATTCTTTGGGTAAATATCCAGTGTGTGATTACTGGATCGTATGGTAATTCTACTTTAATTTTTTGAGGAACCTCCACATTATCTGTTTGCCTTCTGTGTCTTCTTTGGAGAAATGTCTGTTCATGCCTTCTGCCCATGTTTTAATTGGATTACTTGGGGTTTTGGTTTGAGTTTTATAAGCTCTTTATATATTTTGAATACTAACCCTTTACCAGATAGGTCATTTGCTGTGTATCTTATATGTAAATATTCATTTATTTTTTTAGTTTCTGGGGAACTCTCTTCTTAAAGTATTCTTCCTCTCCCCCATTATCTTCATCCTCTTCCTTGATATCTGATTAGATATATTGTCACCTTTTCATTCTCTTCTCTGTGGCTTTTAATCTTTACTGTGTTTCTGTTTAATGAACTTTGTATAATTCCTGTTGACCTTTCTTCCACTTCACAAATTATCTATTTTTATTCATCAATTTTTTTTGTTTTATATTACTTAATTTTTTTAGATATGTATTTGTTTTTGAGAAAGAGAGAGGGATAGAGACAAAGTGTGAGTGGGGAAGAGAGGTGGGGAGACACAGAATCTGAAACAGGCTGCAGGCCCCGAGCTGTCAGCACAGAGCCTGATGGGGGCTCAAACTCACTAACCACAAGACCATGACCTGAACCAAAGTCGGATGCTTAACCGACTGAGCCATCAGGCACCCCTAATAACACTTTTAATTATGTAACATTACTTTTAATTACATGACATTAATCTTAATTAATTCCTTTTGATGTTTATATTTTTACTCGTGGAATTCTGTTTGGGTTCATGAGTACTAGAATTAACAGGCTGATTGTGGCATATGCACGCAACAAATTAATACAGGCTAATAAAAGTGAGTGCATTATAACTGAACACAAAAGGATTTCAAAAGTAATTTTGAAGAAAGTAAGACGGCAACCAAATGAATAAAGTGCAACTTTACGTATGTATAATTCAGATATAAACAAAATGAAATATTATAGTGTTTAAGACAAGTAAGTAAAATTAAGGAATACTTTTTCTATAAATCAAGGCAGTCGTAACTATGGTTCAGAGGGAAGGATCTTGATTGGCAAGTATCACAAGGATCCTCTAAGGTCTAGAAATATTCTCTTTCTTAAAAATTGTGTGGTGGTTACATAGATATGGACATACATATTTTTTTATAATCTTATACACAGATACTATTTCATTCTTTTTTTTTTTTAATTTTTTTTTTCAACATTTATTTATTTTTGGGACAGAGAGAGACAGAGCATGAACGGGGGAGGGGCAGAGAGAGAGGGAGACACAGAATCTGAAACAGGCTCCAGGCTCTGAGCCATCAGCCCAGAGCCTGACGCGGGGCTGGAACTCACGGACCGCAAGATCGTGACCTGGCTGAAGTCGGACGCTTAACCGACTGCGCCACCCAGGCGCCCCTCATTCTTTTTTTTAAATCCATCTGGCTTTGTTTGATCAGGTCCTCTTTCTCACTTATGGTCTAGATTCACTCATTTGAAAAAAAAAAAAAAAGTTTAATTGTGCTTCCTCCAAACTCTGTATGCAGTAGATGGAATATCTAAACTCCTTGGTTATCTAATTCAACCACGTGTTCTTTTTGCTTACTCTTCCTCGTGTTGACATATGTCTTTCTGTATTGGGAGTTCACATCCAGCTGAGGTTTATCTCTTTGCATCAAAGGAAATCGGAGTGGCTGTGAATCCTTACAGGAGTGCCTTAGGGCTTACTGGCACAGGACAAACTTGAGTTAGTTTGATAACTTAATTTCTTTCTTAATTTTTAACTTATACTTGCAAGAAATATAAAATCAAATTCCATTGGTGTGAAGACAGGCCCAAATTATAAACTTTTAGGGAAGAGTTTATTTTATTTTATTTTCCCACCCACAGTCCTCTTTAAGACAGAAGTTTCTTGTCACGTTTCCTTTCCGGAAGGTGAACTTTTCCTAGTGCGTCTCTGTATTTGAAGTTGAAGGCTTCTAATGTCCTAACTTATTCAGGTGGTCAGTTTCATTTCTCCACGCTTGAGTCCTCATGTCTTGACTTTATTCTCTGGCTTCGTTTTAAGATTCTAGATTATTTGGAACAGGATAGATTATGGCAGCTTTAATGTAGCTGCCTAACTGGGCACCCTAAAACCTTTTAATTTTCCAATAAAAATTTAGACTTTTTAATTTCTTTTTTTTTTAATTTGAAAACTATGCTTGTTTTTATTTTAACCAGAATTTCCAGGTATTTTGTAAAAGGAAGACACTGAAATAAAATAAATGAAATAAAAACATAAATAGAAGGAAAAATGATATTAAAGGTCCCTTTTCAGGTCTAAATCTGCCCGTTGAAAACCATGAGCCATGTGTTAGGACACAACTTCAGGATTACCACAGGATATACTCTGAAGTCTCAATATAGGTTAAATATATGGTAAAGGTGCAATCTTAGTATCAACAAGGTGCAGATAGATTTTAAAGAGCACCTACCTCATCATGCCATGTCGTGGAGTCGTGGAGTGGAGCTTTGCACTTAGTGTATAAAAGTTTTACCATAACATTCACTTTTTAAATTGTGATATTAAGGATTCTGTAATTTTCAGGGCACCTGGGTGGCTCAGTTGGTTAAGCATCCAACTCTTGATTTCAGCTCAGGTAATGGTCTCAGCGTTGTGAGATTGGGTGTGGAGTCTGCTTCAGATTCTCTCTCCCTCTCTCTCTGCCCCTTCCCTGCCTGTTGTCTCCCTCTAAAAAAAAAAAAAAAGCTGTAATTTTCTACATAATGTTACTGTTAGATTTCCATAAGTTACCTCTTGGAGGTAACTTTTGTTTTCCAACTTCTGTTTTCTTAAAAAAAAAAAAAACAAATGTATACAACTCCACTATCTTCAAGTCCACATGAGATATGTTTTATACCATACACATGTAATATATATGTGTATATATATATATATATGTATATATGTATATTATACATATAATATTTGTGTATTGATAACTTTGAAACAGCACATGTTTGTAGATAATAAGATTAAACTAATTTCTAATTCTGTGCCTTAACTCCTATTAATAAAAATATTATTTTCAATGCAGCAGTGTATTGGCTCCCTTTGGTTGAAGACGCTGAATTACCTGGAGGGAAAACAATCCTGCTTGAGATAAAGCTACAGAAGTATGTAGCTCTTACACTGTAGCGTCCTGGTTGTTTGCTTGGCCACAAAAATTGGTTGCTGAAGGGTGAGAGATAAACGGGTGGTTTTTATCAGGCCAGGGATTGTAAGGAGCAGAAAACATATTTCAGTGTTGATCACAGGTGGCAGGAGCTCTAACATCTAGCAAGTCACAGATGCACAGTTGTGTCTTCAGTGCCTTGCTACGTATCTGATTTGCCCAGCACACTTTTGAAAAATACAGACTCTACTCTGGGACTTCAGTAGAGCAGCTCTTGGATAGGGCAGAAGAATCCCTTTATTCATGACTCTCATGGTGAGCTGGACATGCAGACTAGTTAAGGAATCACCTCTCTGCCTATTAGAACTTGTCAGGTGCCAAAGATCCCAGAACTCACTGGTCCCCATGATTCCAACATAGTAGGCTGACTGCGCTGTATTTTGGAACCCTTGAGAAGATTAACAGGCCCTGGGAGTCATGAGCGCATCGCTCCCCAAATGCCCAAGGGACAGCAATTCACTCCCTCTTCTCTATTGCCATGGTCTGCTGCATCTGCTGTTGTTACGTCCTGCATGACAGTGGCCTTGTTTTACAGTCACGTGTGTACCTCTTATTCTCTTGCATTGGCTGAACTTCTAGACAATCGAGGTCTTGTTAGACATTGAGTCTCCCGTAAGAATTCAAAAAATGTCTTCCTGAACGGAATCAAATTTTAATTATTGCCATTTCCCTAGTTATCCTCACCCCATCTCCCGCCGGGATATGTCCCGTCCGGTGCAAAATATGTAGTTGCTATCTTCTTTTTGGGAGTTACATCCCTCCCTATTTTCCACTGCTTCTGCAAGCTTGGTGGAGTGGCACTGTATTTTTTTAGTCCACGTTGACAGCATACAATATAATGGTTCATTTAGGATGGGTTTTTATGGGGCCTGTCAAGATTTAGCTGTGTTTTGCATAGTAAACGTAATATTAAATGACAAAATGCATCATAGAAGATACTTCGCAACCATCAAGGTGGAAGCAGTGAATGTGTAGAAGATTACTATGCATTACAAATGGTGAAGCAGCTAAGATAATAAATAAAGTATAATTGAAATTCAAGGGGCTTTGAATATTAGTGATGTAACAACTCTCTGATCTACAGTCTGTGTTACACTGTGTGATCTACAGTATGTGCTGTAGGAAGGTTGGCTGCTTTTCTTGTGTGTTGGTCTCTTTGCACAGCAGGTGATGTGCCGAACTTAATAACCTGCTGCTTGTTTTTTTTTTTTATTTAAAAAAATAAGATGGGAGCTAAGTCACAACTGCTTTGGGCAAGTCTTATAAAAATGTTTGTGTTTAGAAGTGAGCTAATTTGATTAGAGAACCATGAAATGTGCTCAACAGTGTAATGGAACATCAACTAAATCTAAACTGGCAAAAACCCAGGACTTTGAAAATTAATGAATATTCAATATTGACATGCTCTGAAAATAGCTGTCTTAAATATGAGGAAAAAAGGAAGGCAGGAGGGAAACAGAGAGAGGGAGAGAAAGAGATTCTATAGACTTCAGACATTTTTATTTCTGTCAAATAATATTGTGACAAAAGAATCACATAATTCAGTCACCATAAAAATTTATAATTGTGTGAGGTCAGGGGCAATGTTTTATTAATTTAGTTTTGTGTTTCCCGACCCACAAAATCCATATCTCATGTGTTTTACCCAGCACTGTTTCAAACATTTGGTAAATTTTTTGCCAAATGATGAATGAAAAACTCTATCAGCATGGATTTCATATTTATTGGATGCAGAGCAGGGAAATTGATTTTATGACAAAAGAAGAAATGGCAGCTACTTTAAAAAAGTAAAATGGATATATCTATAAAACCAGTTGCCAAAAACATGAGAATAAGTAGGCAGTTAAGAGTATACGTGACCTACTGGAGGTCAAATACTGATCTGGGACATCAAAATGTTACAAATACAAAGAAAATTTCCCCCATTCATCTTATTAAAAAAAAAAAAAAGAATAACATCTGCTAAAACCTCAAAAACATCTCCTCAAAAGGAAATATGAAGAAGAGAGTAAGAAAAATCTAGCATTTAAATATATAACACTGTTTAACCAGTACTCCAGCGACAGTATTGTCCATTCAGTTGCCCAGACAAGACATAAGACTTTTATGTACAATGCAGTTAATTTATGCTCTGGCTTACTTTCAAGCAGCACAGGAATCTTGCCATAGCTCAGTCCCTGGCGAGACACCGATTCTTAAACTCTTCTTTATTTTTACATGGCAAACCAGATTGAGCAGCAGCAGGATTGTTTAGGTAAAGATGAGGTATGGCAGAGTAGTAGCAGGACAGAAACATGGTAATGGATATGCTATTCAAGTGGCCTAAGTAAAACAAGTCTTTAACTCAACAAATATGTATTAGTTTCTTTCGAATATACAACAGTGTGCTAAGCCTGGTGATTTGCAAAAGTGAATCAGAGGCTGGCCCTGCCCTTCAGGCTCCTAGACTGCTGTGGAGGTAGTAATTCACAGGCATAAATAGTTAAGAGGGAAGGGATTTCTGTCAGGGAAATTATCTCTTTGTAGAACAGATTCATTCTTTATGTGGAAGAGATTCAAATCTATATTTCTTATCCTGTGTTCTCAATTGACCATGAGTTTGGTTCTATACTGCCAAGCCAAATGCTATCTGGGCATTTTCAACTTTATGTACAAAAATGACCCTTTATCTTTTTCCCCATTCCCACATATTTAGCTTTAGCTAGATATTTAGCATTTTTGTTTACCTTCCTTGTCCTCACCAAAAGCGATCAGTTTCTAAAGAACTCAGGTTTGCTATCATGAAATGTTTTGTTTATCTCTAGGTTGACTATATGCCTCCATTTTATGGGACTAATCCTGGTAGGCATTAATTACCTTAGGTATTAATACAACTTTTATCACTTCTAAAGGTGTCCTTCTTTGGATGGTAAATCATATGATCACACTCCATATCTCTCGTCTCATGTTCCTTATTCAACTCTCCATAATTAAAAGATTCTATGCATCCATTTTTCTTCACCTGTCCTCTTTACCAACTTCTCTGCTCATGCTTATATCTGTCTTTGCTCAGATATCTTTATGGTCCTTTAAACTTTCTTTCTATTTTAAGTCTTTTCAATTTCCAGTCTGCCAAACTGATATTTTCAGCATACCTGATCATTCTCACAAACACTTTGTAGTTCTTTTATACTTGTTAGGCAAACTCTATAAAGGCCTCTGGATTTAGAGGCTCTATATCATCTGGCCCCCTCTTTATTTTATTTCGCACTTTCCTTAAGGTTTCTCTCTAGTGTATTTGAACCATTCCCACTTTTTGCTGAGCACAACTTGTTCTTTCCTATATTATTCCCGTGTCCCTGTTGGCCCTGGTATCAGTCATGGTCCTGGAAAGAAATAGGATATTCTACTGGGTATATTGGAGTGAGCCTAGTTATTGGATTAAATACAAAAGTGAGTGCAAGGAATCCAACAATCCAACCCTCAGATTGTCATAGTTCTGAACATCCCAATATCTGAAAGTGTAGGGGAAAGGAACAGTTACTGGAACCAGGGAGAAAAGCTTTTTGGAGGAGACTGCTTAAAAAGAACTGTGGGGTCTTAAAGATGGACAGAACCAACCTACCATGAATTACTATAGGAGAGAGAGCTGGGGAGAGAATTTCAAAAAATCCTTCTCCATCCTTCTACTTATCTCCTACTGGTAATTTTAAATGGCCAAGCCCAGCCATAAATCAGAGATAACCAGGGAATCTAAGCAGTTTAGACAGGTTAGCTACTGGAACACAGTCCAAGGTGGAGCATGAATCTGAAGGAGAATATAGAAGATAATCTGTCACCATTCCAGTTTGGACAACGGCCTTTCTCCTATTTAGCAGAGCCCCATCACATACGATTTTGGCATAGGGAGCCTGCATCTACAAATATCCAAATGCCAGGGTAATAATTTGTGTCTTTTAATATATCCACATATTTTATTTTTCCACTAACTTTTATTTGGATTTATATGATTGACTCAGGGGCCCAATTTGACAACCATAGAATTTGTAATTGAGGAACTGAGGCCTACAGGTTTCTTTGGAAAGGTAAGGGAATTATGGAATATGATTTAATAGTGGACGGACTCTATGTATCTTCACCTTTTTCTACATTTGGAGAGAAGATCACTTACATTTATGATTACTATTGAAGAATTAGCCAGTGAAGTATATTACAAAAGGGACTATGATTCAGCAGTGTCTTTAGTTTTTTTTCCATAGATGTTAAGCAGGGTGGGAGGCAGCCTCTTATAATAAACACATTTGGTAATGAGCTCTAAATGGGAGGAAAGAGAATAATTGGCTCACCAGTTTCATGATCTTTGATCGTTACAAAAAATCATTTTTCTATTAATTACTTGAAGGCAAGGAGAAGATCAGTAGAAAGGCAGAGACGTACAACACAAGTGTCATGTACATTTTCTGGTGGTTAGCTCGTGTCCATTTCCCTCTTCTTTTGATAAAAGTTTATCTCTATTTTTGTGGGGATTTGTCCTCCCTGACACAGGCCATATATTTCAGGGGAAGTGGAACCCCTCTTCGGCCACAGAACTACAGCTTCATTATTGGCTTAAGGCAATCATCACATGCCTTCCTCTGACCAGAGTGATTGATGCAAGGCCTTTGTTCCAAATGCACCCAAGGAATTGAAGGGTAACCTTCCCTAGGATTTCTGGAAAAGCTGCTTTTTAAAATTCTTCTTATAGAACTTTGTTATCTTCTCTATATGACATTAAGGAGGAATAGGAACGACCTGGGAGCCACTGGGAACCAATGTCAGGCCATGACGACAGGAGGTTGCTATGAACGGAGACCACCCTAAGAGGCAGAACTGAGAAGGAGAGAGACTCGGACTCTGGTCACAGCATTTGAACTGCCAAAGCAAGCTTCTTTGAAAGGATAAAAGTAAGCACAGAACATTTGGGTCACATGAGCCAATACATTTCCTTTATAGTGTGAGCTATTTTGCCTTGAGTTGTTTGTTCGTTTGTTTTGTTTTGTTTTGTTTTTGTGTTATTTTTGTTTTTACAGCGACTGAAAGATTATATGCTCATATAAAAGAGTAGAACAATAATAACGACTTAATTTGTAGTGGCTTCCTCCCTCAATTTGGTCTGCTGTTTATTTAATGTGACTTTTTAAAGTGCTTGTGAACTAATTAATCATGCTCTGCCTTTTAAAATAACGATAATATGTAGCGGGTTTTAAATATAAGAATCCTTTTGAATTTTACCTAAATCTTATATAAATTTTTCACCTATCCACAAACATTTGTAAATACCAATTATCTCTATTACACATTATCCAGGACTGACTGTGCCTGTGCAGAGTACATGAAGTTAGCACCGGTTTTGCTATGTATATATATATGTATATATGTGTGTGTATATATATACAAACACTGGGTAATGTTGTCCATTACTAATACCTTTACGTTTTAAGAATCACTCTGGTATTTCTTCAGCTAAAGGATGATACATTCTTTAAAAAGAAGGACATACATGAGAGAGAGCGTTTACTAATGCTGGTTGCTATCTGGAAGCCATCACTTTTCACTGGGTTCTCTACTCCTTCGAAAGCTGGACAAGTCGAAAACTAAAAACTCTAAGTAAAAACAAAACCTATAAGATTTACTGAAAAAAAGCCCAACTCATTCGTATACACTAATTAAACTTTTTACATATTACCGTAAGCCACAATCAAGATGTATTCGATTCATAATTTGAGAAGTGAATGTTGTTAGGATGAATAATAATCAGCAATTCTCATTTGCTAAACATAAAACACTGAAAAAAAAATTCATTTCCTCCAAATGGCTGAGCAGTTTTATATCAACCATGACAAATGTAATCACAGAAATCTTTGAGCAAATTCATATAAGTTTATTAACTTAAAAATGTATAATACAAATTTTAGTTCACAACAAAGATCACTTTAATTTATTCAACTTCATTGGGATTGCTAAATATAATAATATATACTGCTCCAACAACCAACAATTAGGGAAAACTATTTCTGAATGTTTGGTCAATTACTTGCTAATCTGCAAAGTTCAGTAATACGGTTTCCTGCCATAGTAAATTGAGGTTTCAATGTAAAATAGATGATGCATTCTTTTGGAAATTCCTTTTACAACACAATTAACCTCTTCACCTTTTAGAAAACACATTGTTAGCATATTGGGATGCTATTTAATTTGACATGCTTTATATGGTCGTGATCAGTGCCAAATAACACTTTGTATTTCTCTAAAATTTATTTTACATTTGTTAGTTGGGCTTTCAGCTACTAATTACACTATATTTCAGTTTTTACACAATCCTTTGATCCACTGTATAATAGTAATGTGATAGCATTAACTGCAGAGAGTTCTGGTGGTGGAATCAACATTATCAAATGTTAGAGGGCTGTTTAAGGAAAAAAAACAAAAAGTCACTTGGAATAACTGTAAGACTTATCTTGGATGGAATTGCTATTACCAAAGACACACCAGGCTATTTCTCTTGTAGAAAATGTTTCATTCAAGAAGTAATAAAAATGTTTCACAAGTACATATGAATAATGAATAAAGAAAATCATCAGCAGGCCAAAAACATTAATACAATAGCAAGCTAATGCTTTGAGAAGGGGTTTATTTTACAGCTTTAACTGTAAACTGTATTATTTTAGAGCTTATATTAAAATTGGAAGTGCTCTAACAAGTGATTCACTGCCAGCTTCTACCCAGGCATCAGCTTCTGTTATAACAATGCTGTTGAGTGGAAGGCCAGCTTGTGCTTGAACACCTCCAGGGAGAGGAAATTCATTACCTTGCAGGGCAGCTCATTACCTTAGCTGTGGCGTATTCTTTTACAATCTAGTTAGCTGGATACATATATGTCACTTCTCTTTGATTGTAAACTAAAGCCAGAGACTAAATCTTACTCACATTGTCATCCTATTATAATATCTAGCCTGGGGCTGTCCGGATGAAAGGTGCTCACTTAGTATGTGCAATGTGACGATGAGCTAAGGACGGATGTCTACACCATGCAGCTCCAAAAAGTCCTAGTTTTGATTTCTTTTAGAGAATCTCAAAAAGTAGTGTTCTCTATGATCAGGCACACACATGAGTTAAAAAAAATAGGTACCTGACATGTGTTTTTGTTTTACTCTACTGCCCATGTGATTTTATTTCATGGATTCTCCTCTTGATTATCCTTTTGCTGGTGCTTACATTAAACGCATCTGATAGATGAATTGTCTCACACAAACTTTATTTTATCATGCTTAGGAGAAAAACACTAACTGAGATGCTGGTCATTAAAATTCATTGTTTCAGCAGCTGTTTGGTTATCAAATTATTGTATAAACGCTTATAAATATGCACTGCACAATCATTTAGAGAGGAAATAACACTTTATAGCTTTTTAACATTTTAAACCTGGTTTTCAATAAAAATTAAAATAATTTTTGATAAACCCCTCATAAATTTGCTTCAGAATCACACTGACTCATCACAGTAGGGCAAAGGAAAAGATATATATATATATATATATATATATACATATATATATTTATTTCCCAGAGTCTAAGGACTGGGTTTTGAGTACTAATCTGGTATGTTCTGTTATTTGACGTTGGAAGATCATTTAGCTCTGCAAAGATTCAGTTTTCATATGTATAAAATATTGAAAAAGCATATGTCCTGTCTATTTCAAAGAGACTAGTAGGATCAAATAGAATATTATGCTGAAAGTGCTTTATAAAATGGAAAGCCCTGTATAAGTATGAGGTGTGGTAATCACAGAGGAGATTTACAGCCCCACCCCCTACCACCACATTTGAGGACCTTAGGAACATTGACAGACATGTTCTGGACATTATTGTTTTGGATACTTCTCTGTCGCTGCCAGATTTGTTTGACTAGTGCTCAAGTGATGAAGTTGCCAGCAGTAATAAATAAGAAAGGCACAGTAACTCTAATGTAGGTAGTAAATCAAATATGGGATATGTCTGGAGTAGTATTAACTAATTCCAAGTTTTGTAAGGACCATACATGCATCAAAATCTACATTAATATTTTTTTTTAATCAAGGATAACAAATCACAGTAAAATAATTCTTTTATGTTGTCAGAATTGTTTTTTTTTTCAGGGGCTCAAATATTCATGAGGGTCAAGAGGCTACAAAACCTCTACCTCACACCATTTACAAAACTTCACTCAAAATGAATCGATAGCCTAAATGTAAGAGCTAAAACCATAAAACTCTTAGCAAAAAACTTAAGGGTAAATCATCATGACCTTGGGTTAAGCAATGGATTCTATATGTGAGGACAAAATCAGAAGCAATGGGAGAAAAAACAAATAGGTAAATTGTACTTCATTAAAATTCACATATTTTTGGCATCAAAGAACAGTACTGAGAAAGTGAAAAGAAAACCCCCAAAACAGAAAAAGGACAGATATTAAGTATCTGATATTCAGAATATATAAAAACTCTTACAACTCAACAACAAAAAGACAAAAATTCAACTAGGATGTGGACAAAGAACTTGAATACACATTTCTCTAATGATTTATCCAAGGGATCCAGGTATGCTGTTTCAAAGGGACACGGGCACCCCAATGTTTATAGCAGCACTATTGACAATAGCCAAAGTATGGAAAGAGCCCAAATGTCCATCTACAGATGAATGGATAAAGAAGACATGGTATAGATATACAATGGAGTTTTATTCATTTCAATCAAAAAGCATGAAATCTTGCCATTTGTAACTACGTGGATGGAACTGGAGGGTATTATGCTAAGCGAAATTAGTCAGTCAGAGAAAGACAAATATAATATTACTTCACTCACATGAGGATTTTAAGATACAAAACAGATGAACATAGGGAAGGGAAGTAAAAATAATATAAAAACAGGGAGGGGGACAAAACCATAAGAGACTCTTAAATATGGAGAACAGAGGGTTACTGGCAGGGTTTTGGGAGGGGGGATGGGTTAAATGGGTAAGGAATCTCCTCCTGAAATCATTGTTGCACTATATGCTAACTAACTTGGATATTAATTAAAAAATAAGTTAAATAAAAATAAAAAAAGAAGTATCCAAAACAAAAGATATATATCAATGACAAACAATTCTTAAAATGATTAGGCATTATAGAAATGAAATTTAAAACAACAAATCTTGAAATTAATATACTGTTGTATTTCAATGATACCTCAATAATTTTTATAATAATAAAATAATATTTTATATTATCAATATATATTATTAATAATATACAATATAGGATAGTTATAATAGATAATAATAACGAATGAATGACAAGCATTGGCAAGGAAGTGGAGACTCTGAAACCCTCATATATTACATTTCTGGTAGAGATGTAAAAGAGAGCAGCCATTGTGGAAAACAATCGGGTAGTTCCTTAAAAAGTAAAAGGTAGAATTACCGTATGACCCAGCAATTCCACTCTCAGATAGATACTCCAAATAATTGAAAACAGGTGTTCAAACAACAATTCCATATGAATGTTCATAGTATCGATGTCCATAATAACTAAAAAGTAGAAACATCTGTAATGTCCATCAACAGAGATATAAAATGTAGCATTATACAATGGAATATTATTTAGCCATACAAATGAGTAAAGTATTGATACATGCTACAACATGGATGAACCTTGAAAACTTTATGCCAGACATAGAAGAAGCCAGACATGAGAGGTCACATAGTGTATTAATTCATTTATATGAAATATCCAAAGGAGCTAAAATAATAGAGACACAAAGGAGATTAGTGCTTGCTGGGGGTGGGGGGTAAGGTAAGGGATTATGTAAAATTACTGATTAATGGATGTTTGTTTTTTTTTGTTTTTTGTTTTTTTTTGTTTTTGTTTTTTTGTGAGGAGAATGATG